ACGGACAGGACACCTTCCACTAGCCCAGGTTGCTCCAAGCCCTGTCCATCCTGGCCTTGAACACTTCAAGGGATGGGGCAGTCACAGCTTCTCTGGGCAACCTGTGCCAATGTCTCACCACCCTCAGAGTAAAGAATTTCTTCCTAATACCTAATGTAAACCTACTCTCTTTCAGTTTGAAGCCATTCCCACCCTGTCTGATCATTTGCCCCATCACAAGTGTCCAAATAGCATTTTTTTGCTTCTGAAATGAAGAAGGCACAGCCTTCATCCCCTTGTCTGTTTGCAGGGGCCTGTATGGGAAGCTCCTGAGCCTCATCTTCAGTTTCAGTGCGGGGAATAAGCCTCCAATCTCAAACTGCTGGACTGATCTAAATCCTCGTGGAGAAAAACTGGCCTAATAAAGCCACTGAGTCCCAAATCACCAGTTTATAGGAGTGCTCAGGACACCAAACCCCACCCCCAATCCCGTACAGGAGAGCTGTTCCCATTGCATTGCAACTGCTCCTTGTTCTGCTCCTCTGCTCTCGAAGGCATAGATGGGATATTTTACCTTATTTTGCAGTTCTGCCTTGGGTCATCTCACTACTGAGTGGGTTGCAAAGCAGAAAAACATTTTGTAGTGTACACCACAATTTGAAAAAAAGCTTTTTAATAAGTTGATCCAGTTTGCTTTCCATGTCTAAGGCCTATTAGGTTATTTGAAAACCATGGTAAATTATCCCTCTGGCTCGTATCTTTTGCATCACTGTTGTGTCTGGAGTTTTCTTTCTCTCTAACGTTGTAGCAGGAGACATTCAGAAGAACATTACCATCCCTCACTGCATTTAACTAAACCAAGATATGACTCCTGGGGATAGTCTAATGGGGAAAAGAGCAGGAAGAGAACATCATCTGTCAGCATATTAATGTTCTAAATTAATGCACATCCTTCTTCATAAAGATGGTTTCTTCAGTTCCAAGTCAAATAATATTGATTCTCAATGTGACACAAAGACAAGTGATCATTGTAATACAACTTAAAAAGCAACGTGAAGAACAGCTGAGGCAGAAAGAAATGGAAACTTGACAAGTGTTTTTGCCAAAGTGTCAGTAGAATGATACTTTTACTTGAGACAAGAAGTTTAAACATGCATAGGTAATTTAAGCAAGTCTTTTCTGAAATTAAAAGAAAAGGAAAAAAATGCTATCTTATTTCCAGTTTCTTAAATTTTGATACTATTATTATTACTATTATGTAAGTATCTCTGAATAAAATGTTTCATAGAGTATAAACTAACACATCACTATGTTTTTGAGGGAAATAAAAAGTGTATATAGTATTCCAATATGAGCAAAAAATTTCACATAAACTTTATCTTTCTAATACCGAAGCTACCTCCACACCAACTCTTAAAATAAGAAATGTTCAGAAAAGGGATTCTCTTAACATCTCTCTTACTGTTAGATTTATATACAACATGTGCTATACGAACTCTATGTGTCTGATTTATCACCTTCCTTGATGGATTCAGTTGTCCCATAACAAATTCCTGACTTTCTACCACCTCCAGTAACACAATGCATCACTGCCTTTCTTTGAATATGCTGAGACTTGTCAGTGTGATTCCTTCTGTCTCGCCAGTGTACAAGTCTAATACACATGCAGGCACAATGCAGACTCTATGATATGGATGGCTTTTTTTCACTGGAGAAAAATCCTTGCCGGAATCCCAAGTGTGGATGTGAGCTGCAAATAACACTCATATGTCAGGGAAACTAGCTAAGTCTCTTTTGGGTCACACAACCAAAGCGAGTTGAGCTCTCCCAAGAAACAAATACAGCACTGAGAGAGGAAGAGACTGCAGTGGAGTATCAATACTGTAATAAGATGCAGAAAGCCATAGAGAGATGCTGAATAATCTGATTCTTCCTACGCAGACCTGAGTCCTGTAGTACCAGATCCCTCCTGACTCAGACGATCTGACTCATTCCGTGCCGTGCTTGTGACTTCACACGTTTTCTCTCATGACAATCCTTTTATCTTCCCCCATGTAAATCCAAGTCACTTTGTCACGATGGGCACATTCAGTATGACAAGATTTTCTGTATCAGAGTTGTTTTTCATCTCTTTTTGCTGCTCCCCTACATGTCAAGCCTTAACCACATCCCTACCTGACACCCACTGCCTCTTCAAAGCACGAGCACACACACACACAAACAACACATGAAAGGCTTACTAAAAATGAAAGACATAATTCCCAGTAACTTCTGGTATCAATACTAGCAAAGCAATCCATTGCTGAAAGATATGTCAGCAGGGACCACCTGAATAGGTAAGAGAGGAGTGTGACTTTTAGCACTGGACTGTCCTCACTCTTCACCTGCTACCTCTGGCCCTGTTTTCAGCTGTCCCAAGAGCTTCTCAAAGATGAAGCCTGTACATGGCTCCCACTAAAAACTGATGGGAAGGGGATGGAGAAGATTGTACAAAATTGTGGTCTAAATTAATTTCAGCCTATTAACAAGCTTGGTATTAAATCTTATTACACACTTTCCCACTGCAGACAGCACAAAAAAATTAAGCTACTCCATTTCATATATCTTACCTTGTGCTATGGTTTTGAACAAATCCCTTGCTGAAGGTTCCTCTTTCCATTATTGACTAAAGTAGGAGCCTGAAAAATCTGTGAAGACTCGTTTGCTGTTTTTAATTACTAAAGTTAGTCAAAATGGGTTCCACTCTTGAAGTGGTCTGTGGTCTGTACTGTCTGTGTAGGTTGCCAGCTGCTCCAGGCAAAGAGGTGCCCTTCTTGGTAATTGTATTTTAGTCAGGAAATCCACTTCTTATGTGTGTTGATTGATATCCTGGGGATTTCAGATATCATGCACAGCCATGGAAAAGCTGTCTATGAAGAGCTTAGGTAATTGTAAAATGATTTACAGTCAGGCATGGAAAGGCTTCTGCAGATCTAGCTATTGTTATAGTGCAGCTCCCTCCTCCAGCCTGGAGGAAGAGAAAATGCACAAAATATGTCTTTGCGTTTGATGACATGTTCAACGTTATACTTAGGAAAACAAGGATTCACATTTCAGCTACTGCAGTGAACATTTCAAACAAGCCTTTCAAAGAAGAAAAAAAAACTGTCCAATCCATTATCTGTAATTATAGCTCAGGAATTTATAAGGGGAGTAGGACTATATTTTTCTAGTAGTTTTGTTGACATCTTCAGTGTAGTACAGCTTAACACTTCTGTTTACCAGCTCTTATTTGCATACACTTCTTTGCATCCCTATGGGACAGAAATAAGTGGTACTGTCAAGATCTCCAAGGATTAAAACGGGGAGTTGGAACCTGCAATTCAGAATGTTGTGTGGCCCCATGGGCAGATCCGAGAGGAGCAGGGAATGCAAGCTCAGACAGGCTGGAGAGCAGTTCCCTCACATAGAATCTCTAAAGGTTTTTGCACCTACCTTCAGTATCTTCAAACTGCAGAAGGGTAGAAACCACTGAAACAACAGAATCTGCAAATAGAAGTTAGGCATTAGGAAAAGGCCATGTTGCACCTCCTGAAGATAAAAAACAGTGGACCTGCTTGCCAAGTATTCTGGCAAACCCAATACTTCTGCAAGCCCTTCCAGTGAAGGAAGATGTCTTTCTAAGGGTGTATGTACATTAAGCAGTGAAGCACTTTCTTGCAAACTCTAAGCAACATCCCATGCAGGTCTGCTGAGAGATATCAACTCAAGTCCTGGATGCCAAGTGGACATGTCAGTGCAGGACTGCAAACAGAATTAATTAGCATGGCACACCATTTGCTACTCTGAATAACCTCTGCTGTTCTCTGACTCTTTTGAGGAATGTGTCCAGTTTTCCCTAAAATATAAAATTATTCACCATGTACTGACCTAATATAAAGTAGTTAATGGGTGCCCTTACAAAGGCTTTGGCAAACATGAAGGCACTTGGATTCAGCCCTTCTTAAATATGCACTTTACTGTCCTTAATGGAACACACAGTTGTGCTGTAGCACATTGCACTGGCAAAGGGAAAGATTCCGTGATGTAAACATGGTACAAGGGATACCACCAGTGTGAGAACACAGCCAGTGCCTGACTCTGACTCTTGCATAGTGCCAAAAAAACTTGTCTGGGTTAATGTTGCCAATATTATAATACATTAATGGCAATATTACATTACATTCATAACATTACTATTACATAAAACTGCACAATTCTAAGGCCAGCATGCAGCACACCATCTTCCTTCAAGTGTATAAAAGCAAGCACCAATGAAGTTTGATTTATAATGAAAAATATCAAATACTTTAATATTACTTTCATAAGGAAAATCTGTTTTTATTTTCTGTCTTGGTTGTGAAAATAAAATATTTCCATTTATACAGAGCCAGAGCTACTCTTTGGTTGGACACATTCTTCTATCCTTATTGAGACAGATATGATATAGAACACGAATAAAGCTTCCTGAAATGAACTGAAATATATTTTCCGGTCTCCTTGTCCTCTCCATCTACCACATAATCGTGGTCATAGCAACATCATTCCATGGACGATGTGTTTTTCTTCTGCTTCTGTTCTAACAGGTTGTCAGAATCCCAGACAACCAAGCCCAGAAGGATCAGAAAGGATTGAGAAGAGAGAACAAATGGAAGTAGACACAGGTAGGTCTGGCACATCCACACTTGCAGGTGACCTGTTGTGTTTCTACAGCCCATTGCTTTCCTCTCATAGAGATTGTGGTGGGTATGGCTGCCCTTCTGGCCTTTTGGCAAAGAACTGAATCCTTTTTGGTTTTCTTTCCTGTAAGACTGGGTCCGAGCCGAACAGACCTAAAGTTTCCATTTCAGTTTCTTTACAGAAGTTAATGTGCAAGAAGTGAAGCTAATTTGGTAGCTACTTCAGAAGCGTTTACGCATCTCAGTTTAAGAATGGTGGAATTTTCTTGGGGGATGGGAAAGGAAAAATGGAAAGAAATTAAATATTTAGAAATTATAGGGGAAAACAAACAAACAAACAAAACCCAGCAAAACTGAAAGTTAAGCAGAGGGACAGAAAACATTTAGTCCTGCACAAATACTCAAATACTTTTCTCCTGCTGTGCTCTGAAAGAATCAATCTGAGTGTCAGACAGGCACCCTACTATTGATTCCTCTGCTCCTACCTCTCACATCAACAGTGGATCGAGATTAAATTCAACATTGTTAAAATGCAGGGAATAGCTATAAAATGAACCCTTAATGAAGGGGGCAATAGGTCAAAAGAGCACGTTTGTTACTCACTAATCCAGTAAAACCTTTCAATCTGCTGAGTAAAATACCTCTGTGCAATGCTAAAATAAATTAGTAGGGTCTTTCTGGTGGAGACAGTTCACGTGTGAGATAATCTCAGGAGGTCTGAAAGTCATCACAAGAGACATGTTTCTGCCTTTTAGTGTAGTTGTTGTGGTACCTTCCATGCCTTTCGCATTTTAAATGATTACATAGTAGTCCTCAGGCTCCCCACACTGAATATGCCTCGATGGGACCAGCCCTTGGTTCTTCACATACTGCTGCTGCTTTTGGAGGCAGTCTGTGATTATTGAAACAATCTCTTTTTTTTCTTGAGAGGTTAAGCTAAAGGGTCAGACAGAGAAAAGAAATACACATAATACACAAGAAAAGATTCAAGGAGCAGCTTGCTAAAGGATGTCGGGGATGTAAAAAGTTTATGTGGATTCAAGGAGGGGATTGGGCAGGTACTAAAAAGTGAGTGCTAGTCAAAGGTTCTGGGCAGACAAATCACACACCAACCTGCCAAAAAAAATATAAACTAGCCCTCATCTTTTTCACCTCTTCAAACAGCTGAACTTTTCTGAATCTCAGAAAATTACATCTACAGACTTGGAAGCTTTTTTGTTTTAGAGAAATTCAGTAAGGAATCAAGCATTCATAAGGAGCTAAATGATATATTTTGACACAGCCACGATCCTTGTAGGATATACTTTTTTTTTGGTCTCAGAAAGTGTTTTTGCAGAATACATTGATGAATGTTCATAAATGTTCACGGCCCAGAGGCAATAAATATGGAATAATACAGTGTACAAAAATATTCCCCAAACAAGGCTATCTAAGAATATGGGACCAGATTCCAGCATACCAGGAAAGTGAGAAAATATTTTGATGTCAGTAAGAATTGCAATTAAAGTCCTTTGTCAGAGTTCAGGAGAAAAAATAATCACAGTGTTTTTAAAAAAGGTTGAAGCATTATAGTAACCTAATTCCACATGAATGGCTACAAAAACCAGCCTGGCTTTCTGCTGATCAAACTCTGTTTCCAAGTACTTGCTGCCATAGACAACACAAAATAAAAATCAGCAGAGATTTGAAAAATAAAATCATGCCAGACTTTTTTTTTATTTTGTTTTGCTTGTGGCTCACAACTGGATGTAGCATCGTTATAATTTTGTAAAAGCTATTTAGATTGAGTTTTTCTGGTCTGGTTTTCCCACCCTCTGACAAATACTAACAACCTTCAGCTGGTATTACATCCTATATTTCACACTCCCAGCTCTCTAAATCCCACATTTCTGATTCTGTGAACGCATCAGCTACGGGAGCTGATGCAAGTGGCTGGAACCTCTGTTCATACTCTATAATCTAATGCACTTAGCGAGCCAATGAATATGTGTGAAAGGAGGGGCTTTCTGGCTGAGGGGCTCCGTGCAGGGGAACAGCTGTTGAACAGCAAAACCTTACCCAGAGCCAGGCAAACACACTCACTCACATCCTCAGTGGCTTTGTGCATCCAGGTCTGCCAAGACAACTCCACCCACCCCTCCTCTCTCTGCAAAAAGTGAACAAACTAGCACAGAGAAACGTAAAGAAGACCAAATCTCAGCTGTGAAACATTTCAGCAGATCAGTAATGGCCTGGATCAGTAATATCTCCTGGTTAAACCACCTTGCTCTACAGGAAGAACATTTCAGGGGGTACTTAAACAGCACTGAGGATTACTTAGCCTTCCTATGTGGGCCCAGACGGAGCCACCTGTTCCTGCCCATGGCTTTGGTGTACACCCTGATCTTCATTGTTGGGGTGGTGGGGAACTTCTTAGTTTGCCTCGTAATCCTCAAGCACCAGAACATGAAGACCCCGACCAATTATTACCTCTTCAGTCTGGCGGTCTCGGACCTGCTCGTGCTGCTTTTCGGGATGCCACTGGAAGTCTACGAGATGTGGAGCAACTACCCCTTCCTGTTCGGGCCCGTCGGCTGCTACCTGAAGACGGCGCTCTTTGAGACGGTGTGCTTTGCCTCCATCCTCAGCGTGACCACGCTCAGCGTGGAGAGGTACATCGCCATCCTCCACCCCTTCCGTGCCAAGCTGAAGAGCACCCGCAGGCGAGCCCTGAGGACCATCCTGGCGCTCTGGGTCCTCTCTGTCCTCTTTGCCCTCCCCAACACGGGCACCCATGGCATCATGCTGCAGCATTTCCCCAACGGCACCCTGGTCCCGGGCTCTGCTACCTGCACTGTGGTCATGCCCTTGTGGATCTACAACTGTATTGTCCAGATTACTTCTCTTCTCTTCTATGCGCTGCCCATGGGGGTAATAAGTGTGCTGTACTATCTGATGGGGCTAAGAGTAAGTCTTACTCCAGCTGTACTGTGTTTCCTTGGCTCATTCTTGTGTGTTTGTGTCTGTATGTGTCTTTTGAGTGCTTGCACCTTTTTCTTGCCCAGCTGTCTTCCCCCAAAAAGGCAAAAGTATTTCAAACCTCTGGAAAAAAAGAAAAAAAAAAGTAGATCCAAATCCTTCTTTGGTGCAATCCTATTCTGAAATTAATGTTAGGGGATAATCTACCCCAGTCTTTTTATAGAAACTTACCATCACTGCTGCTCACATCCGAATGTCACTGAAACACCGAAGTCTGTGGATTGATTCCAGCCTCTCAGAGATTTACACCTTTGCAGCAGGGACTAGAAGGAAATGTAGCAAAATTAAAATGTGAAAAGAATAAAAACAAGCAGGCTAGTGATCGAATCTTTTGTATTATTTGTTTTCCCTTTTCTTGTGACTGTGACAATTTCTATTGCATTAGTTTCTTTCTCTCCTTGGTGATAATATTCACGAAAACTCACAAAGCTCTCATAAACTGAAATGCTACCTTATTGCTGCTGTTAGCAAATTCAGCAATCATTTCCTTATATAACTGCAGCACAGTTTCACCAGACTATCTTAGAGCTTATTTTCATTCTCTCTTCAGAAAGTGAGTCTAGTTTTACCAAGTATCCATCATGTAAATGTGTGGATAAAACAATCAGTATCACAGTATTATAAAGCTGTGTAGCACAACGCTGGAATACACTGCTAATCGTAGCGAGTTGATGACTTTTTTTTCTCACACATTACAGATACTTTGAAAATATAAATACCATCTCATCACACTGAGTATAACTTAAAGTTTACAAAGATACGTCTGATCATATAGCAAGAAAGGGAGAGGAATGAACTTATTAAATAATGTGCATGAAACTCAACCAAATCTCTGCTAGTGTACATATAATTTTGTTTTGCTGGCTGACATTTACTGTTAACTGAAATTATACAGAAGCAACTTTTACTCTACCCAGGAAAAAAAAACAAGGATTAACTGCCAGAAATCCATAACACACAACAGATCCTCAAAGCAGTGAATGGGTTAAATTGTCCACACTGCCCAGTGGCTGTTGCGGGGTCTTAATATGGTTTTGATGAAAATTTTGCAAAACAAGACCTGAAGGGAGGGAAAAATTTTGTAAATATGGATATTATGAAAAGAAAAAGAGAAATATCTGAATTGATAAAAAGAAGACTTGAAGACTGCAATAACTTCTATTTGCAGCATCAGACATTCCTATACCCCATCCCAGAAGAGAAGCTCGGTACCGAATGAAGGCTACTCCCCCAGGACTTCTGTAAATTCACAGATATGTTCAAGCTGTCTCTCCAAAAGGCAGTAATGTTCATTGTTTGTGGGGTTTTTTTTCTGTATATCCAGCTCAGACTTTCAAATTTTAAACAGCATCCATCCTGACTAGATCTGCATTATGCTCCAAACTGCACTAGGCAAGATAATTTCATTTCCTCAACAGAAATGACAGAAGAATGATGTATATATATTGTTTTTCAAGACGAGACACTTTTTATCTGCTCACGAAGGATGAAACCTATGAAGCTTTAGCAACACTCTGTAGTCTCCTGAGTGCCATGTATCCCTCACAGAATGTAGAGGAAAAGCTCAGTGTTATTCCAAAGGTTGTACAACAGCTCAAATTCAGCAGCGACACAGCCCTTCCATATCCAGGCTTTGTAGAAAGGGCATTTCCTTGCCACAGTTTCTTCCTCAAGCTTTGCCAGTGCTCAGGATGCTCAGGAGAGTCTCAGGATGCAATAGAGGAAAAATATGTGGGACATGTCACATGTCATAAGAGGGCAGCAAACATGGGTCATAGGGTACCTGAGTTAATTTTAAATTTTATTCCTTGGAAAATGAACAGATCCATCCGGCTGATTACCTCGTGATCAGTTACCTCATGATCTACTTGGGTATCATTTTAAGGCTTGATGATTTAATAATAATTCATTGATGTGGTCAATAGATAGTTCCAACATCAGTATAAAGAAGAGGACACTGATGATTACACTGCAGCCTCATTAGATTTAATTGTGGAAGCTTCCTTCTGCCTCTTTCATAGGGTTCTCACCACAGGTACCTTTAGGATCAACCCCTAAATCATCCAGGCTCTTTAAACCTGGTCCAGCTGCTGGACTACTGGTTGCAACCCATAGCCAAAAACCTGAGGAGGAAGAGGAGAAGGAGAAGATGAGATCAGTGGGAAATGGCTGCTCATGGAAGTTAATCCCTGCAGTGCTGATAGAGATGGGGTGGGACTGTTTGGGAAGAAGTCTGTGTTGCAGCAGGAGTCAGTGCAAGGTCCCTGTCCATTTCTTTCAAACTGATCTCTAAAAGAACACAGGGGTAGGTGCTTATCACTGCTTGTCTAAAAGTCAAACTTTATTTAACAAGGATTTTTGACAGTGAATGAAGAGAGTGGAGAGTCCATAGACATATTCTCCTACCTGCTTCAGACATCTGTGAGGGGATCTAGACAGTCAGGTGACTTTTGCCTAGACAGGATGATTCTTCTGCCAAGGTTCAACACTTCTCTTAGTCTCTCATCCCCTCCATAATACATTGGACACACTGAAAATTTTTATTTCAGCTTTCTTTGAAGCAAGACAACTTACTCTTGTCAATGCATATCTGGTGCAGATTTAATCATCAAAATCTATTTTGCCCCCCAGATGCCCAGTTGTTAAAAGCAAAATCATCTGTGGACAGTGACTACCTTTGTTGAATTTCTGCAGAGCCCAGTACATCTCTGGAAGGGTCCATCCCCTTTCCATGGAAGTTTTCAGCAAACCTTGCCCCCACTGACATGCTCTCCTTTGCCATGGGGTTGAGCCAAAAGCACACTAAGGCTGGAGTGGAGCAGCAGATGGCAACAGCTTCAGCCAAATCCTCAGAACAGTCACGACTGCAGGCTTTGGCATAAGCCTTGTAGTTTTTAAGTATCAATTTTTCCATCAGCTGGAGAGAAAGTTTGTTCACCAATAGTGTCAGATAGGCCAAAGAGTTTACAGAAAACATTTCTGCTTTTGTAGAGTGGCCTCACTAGGTTTGCCTGGGGATATGTGAGGCCCTAATTTTTCTCTACCTTCTGATTTCTGGTATGAAATCCTGTAGCTAATAAAGATGTGGGGGGGAAAATCCAATTTTCAGCTTCTTGCTCCAGTCACTTTTAATTCTTTTTCAGTGAAAGGGTAGTTTGCATCTCCAGGCAACCCTACACAGCCTCATACATCACAGTGATGTAAAAGTAACCACTACCTTGGCTGGAGTTCCCTCAAACCATTGGCATTCGCTCAAGTTACAACCTTTGCCATGTACTCATTTGTTTATTTATTTTTCCTCCTTCTTTGTAATAATTCATTGTTTTATTAAACTCCAACTGCTGAGTTATTCTTGCTAGTTACACCTTCATCCCTTGAGGCTAAAGGGGAACCTCTCAGCATCATCAAAATGACAGGAGGAAAGGAAGGTGAAAAATAAAGATACATATATCTCTGGTTTATTACAGCATCAGAACACTGTATTCTCTGAGGCTTTGGACTATGCCTGGAATAGATTACTGTTGAGACTGAAAACCACTGAAGGTAAACTAGAGGGTTTAATCACTCTGAGCAGACGTTTATAGCTACATGTGTTACAAATCAACTGAGGCTCTTCCTTAAGCAACTGTGGCTATGACTAAAAGTTACAAAGGCAATAATGTAAAACATGAGAGGCTGAATTGCACTATAATTGATTATAATCCCATTTACATGGTTTTCCATTTTATAAATAGAATAAAGAGAACATTGAAAAAAGGTCTTACGTGATCATCCTGAGAGAAAAGTATTATTAATCAGAAATCAGAAAGCAAAGTCACAGTGTAAAAGGCAAAAGCAAATGGCACAATTAGCATGTTTTCACAAGACTTTTTACAAATACAGAATGATTTCTATCTTTTTCCTCATTCCTTATATTCTCTCCCATGTAATTAAAAGTTTTTCTTCCAGTTTCTCTCAGTTAATAAAAGTATCACTCCAAAGCTGTTGGCTAATCAGAAGTTCCCACTTTAGGAAGCTCGGACCAAATATACACTTTTCATACATGATCTCTTCTGTACTCAAAGCAATCCTGTTTATCTAGACCTGGTATTTTCATCACCAAAGCACCAGTGCTCTCACCATAAGCATATTGGGGAAGCAGTTCAGGGAGGATCAGATTATTGCTCTTTATGTCCATTTTTTAGAAGTCCAGGAAAAACTACTGGAGAAAACCTCACATTGTTGTAACTGAGCAGTATGTGGCTGAATCTGTGTATCATGCACCCCGGAGGTGCAGGGAGCATATTTGGGTTTTGTTCATTAGATGGGTTGAATATCAATTAGTCCAAACCACTCAGGGCACGAAACAAATTCCTTCGAATTTTACAGAGTTTTTTCCAATGATTATAACTGTGTTACACTGAGGCCACTCTGTGTATTTTTTCAATCATTGGTTTGTGCTTAATTGTGGGGAACCCTATTAGGAAAATAAACAAACAATATCTTGCCAGAAGAGAAAATAATGCCTAGCAAAATAGTGTTGAAATTGAACACAAACTGTGAACCAAATATTGACTCACTGAGGAAAAACAAGTGGGGAAGTGAAATATGAACTTGCTGTAAATATGCAGGTTCAGATGTATAAAATCTGCAGATTGTTTAGAACCTAAAGGTTCAGTGTTTCTCTGGAGAAAAAAAATGAAATTTAGACTTTTTTCAGTCAGTCCCAAGTTGCCCCTGGTTTTGCTTTCTCAAACTGCAATTATCAAAATATTAAGCAGGCTATGTCTGGTGTGGATGTGATCTTTTGTCTAAGCTCTCCTTTGGTTTCCCTCCTTTTACCAGTTGAAAGGAGATGAAACTTTGGAAGTAGAGGAAATGGCTGTGAATGTTCAGAGACCATCCAGGAAATCAGTCACAAAGATGTTGTGTAAGTAGTAAGTCCTTCTGCGGTTTTTTTTTCAGTGGACAGGAGGGTGACCAGGTCCTAAAGGGAATCAAGCAAATTCACTGGATACAAGAGTTATGAGATGAGTAGCTGTTATTTAAAAAAAAAAAAATTGCAGTTTTTTCTGGATTTATAGGGCATGGAAGTGAAACACCATGGGTATCTATCAAAAGATTCAGAAAGCAAATTTTCCTCCCCAGCATGAGAGGAGTTTGAGCAAACCTACGTGGCAGATGCTTGCATGGCAATTCTCCAATATCCCTCACTCCAAACTGGTTCTTGCAGCCCTCTAGGGAGGATCGCTTTTTTTTTCCAGAGTGCAAACAGTCTATCTTGTACATTTATAAAGGATATACATCTGTTTTGCGTTACACCGTGAGCTCTGCTAATGAGCAGAAATCACAGAATCACAAGATGGGTCAGGTTGGAAGGGACCACAGTGGGTCATCCGGTCCAATCTCCCTGTTCAAACCAGGTCATCCCAGAGCACACGGCATAGAATTGTGTGCAGACAGTTCTGGAATGTCTCCAGTGAGGGAGACTCCACAGCCTCCCTGGGCAACCTGTTCCAGTGCTCAGTCACCTGCACAGTGCAGAAGTTCCTCCTCATGTTCAGGTGGAACTTCCTGTGCATTAGTTTCTGCCATTGTCTCTTGTCTTATTGCTCAGCCCCACCAAGAAGAGCCTGGTCCATCCTCTTGACACCCTCCCCTTCTGATACCCATACACATTAATGAGGTCACCTCTCAGTTGTCACGTCTTGAAACAATCCTGCCAAGCTACATCCATCACCTACTGCTGACTTAATCACTTAGACCTTCAAAGAAAAGTTGGACCTAAGCAGACTTGCACACTGTATAACATTCAAGAGAATTTATGCCCCAATCACCTTGAAAGCACTCACATCACTTCCTAATTTAGGGCTGTCTTTAAGGCAAAGAACACCTTGCTACTGAGATGGTGTTTATGCAGGAAACATAAATCATTTTCACTATTTTCTGTAACATTATTCTTTCAGACACCTTAAGTCAGTGTCTGAACCAGGAAATTGTAATTTGAAGCCAGCCTGATTTTCAGTGCCTGGAATGGGTCTAGGTTCCACACGTGCCCCAACATTACCTGGCTGTTTCCTGCTCTGTTTGAATGTCACTGTGTGTGCATGCATTGGGTTATCCAACACAGAAACTAGCAGAAAGATTGTTCTTTTAGCCGGTAATGGTAAGACAAAAAGTATGGCAAAAGTTTTGAAACCATTAACATAATTTGTATATTTAGTCTTTCATTCAGCTTTTTGAACTCTCTCTGCTCTGTGCAGGCTAGTGAACCATATGCCCCCATTACTGACCTGTTTTTCTTCTCCCCTTTCTCCATGCCAGTTGTCCTCGTGATAGTTTTTGCTATCTGCTGGGCTCCATTCCATATAGATCGACTTTTCTTCAGCTTTGTTGTGGAATGGACTGAGCCTTTGGCTAACACATTCAACTTAATTCATGTGGTGTCAGGTAAAGCTTTCTTCTTCCACTTGCACAGGGACTGGGAAAAAAAAAAGTATTTGTGAATGGTTTACTTGGAATATGTCCTCATTTACTTTGTAGGTGACATGAGACATGCATGGAAAACCTTCTCAGGATTTGGAGGGCAGTGATGAGAATAGTGCCTGAATAAAAACTACATGCAATTTTCTGCAGCTTCCAAGATCTGGACGTCTTGTCCAATACAGTATCTGAATATTCACAAAGAAGGAAAAAAAAGTATACCATGCATCATTACCTGCTTTTCCTTCTTGGGAATGTTCAGAAGTGAAGCCTGCTGTTGTTCAGCTGCTTTTAACAAGTACACAGGAACAAGCATCATCCTCCACAGGGTCTCTGGGGCAAGTGGGAAACCTTACCAAATGGCAAGACAAAAGACTTACCTATTGCTCAGAATGGGTGATGAAACCAAATGTTTATGGCCTTGCCAACCATAAAATGAAGGCTTTTTCCAAAAGGAATCATATTCTCAGTCTGCCATGGGAAAACACTGAATGTGGCCATTAGGCAACTCAGACAAATCTGATCTTGTGCAGTTGTCCTGGTGTGTTGTAAGAAATTAGCTTCCCTTGGCTGGAAGTTGTCCTCTGACAGCTCTGATGGGGACACCAGCTGTGTAAACCCTGCTGTGGGGATGAGGGCAGTGCTGGAGGCAGGGCAGGACAGCTCAAGAGAGAGCTGGTTCCTGAAGAGCTGGAGAGAGTGAGCTCCAATTAACAATCTCTCCCATTTTCTTTTCACTGCAACTGCAGTGTATGAGCTAATCTCGGTGAGACATCCCTCTGCCTGTGCCAGGAAGGCAGCAGGCAGAGCTCTGCTGTTGCTGCCTCCACCCTTGCACCAAAGCTTGGTGGAGCTGTATAAGCAATGAAGAGTTTTTCCTCTTCTGAGATCGTTTCACACATAAATTAATCTCTCTCTCTCTCAGGTGTTTTCTTCTATCTGAGCTCTGCCACGAACCCCATCATTTACAACCTGTTGTCCCAGCGCTTCAGGATGGCTTTCCTCAGTGTGATTTCTCCTTGCTGCAAGCACTGGGCCCCTGAACATCCCACTTGCAAGATTTCTGCCCAGAAGAGCATGTTTGTGATTGAGGGTCACAATCTCATGGACTCTGCTGAATACATGAGTGCCCCTGGCACACACAGGACATCTGTCAGCAGTTCTCAGCTCTCCACTGGTCTGTGACTTTCCATGTGATGATCCAGGTGAGAGAGAAGTTAAAGAAAATTGCTTTAAGAAAACAAAAAGAGAAAAGACCTTCCTAAAAGACTGATTTCAGCAAGAAAAGATTGGAGAGGTGTCTCATTGCTTAAATTAAGAAGATTGTATTTAACATATGTTTGAGAAGCACTATATTACACTTGAGCTAACAGTAGGGATGGGAATCTCAGCTTGCTCACTGCAAGCTGTGCCAGTGAAGAGCTGCTTTTAAAAAGTGAGACACACTCCCAATGTTACCAGCACAGGAGAGAGACACAGCTTAGCCAAGTCTTATCAAATGGCCTTTTGTGCACCAACCTAAACATCAGCGTTTACTTACTTTGAAATGAGGCAACTTGCTGCATAAGCCTTATCTATATCTAGGTTTGGGTAAGCCAGTCCCGCTTCTCTCTCTCATGACCTTCTCCAGGTATGGCTGTTGCAAACCTCTCTTGTCAACATGAGCAAGTAGGCAAGAATGAGAGCAGCTCTGAGCTGGGCTGATAGGCATCAGAAACCAGTAATAGCTATTTCTGGGCCAGAAGAATCGGGGAGCCAGTAATTGTAAAATAAATGCAAAACAAAACCTTTGCTTTCTGAGCAAGGTAAAGATCTGGGTGGGGGGTAGTGATTAATGCAGCTGGTGGGGGATATCTGCCCAGGGAATGTACATCAGATAGTTTTATTTTTGCCCATCCACCTTTGCATGTACAAATGGGTAGGTCCCTGCTATACCCCATCTCCTGCAGTTTGTGAGAACTTCTTATCATTGCTTCAGCTTCAGATACTTATGTGTTGTCTCCACCAGTGGAGCCTTGTGGTTGTGCTTCAGCAGATTTCACACCTGCCTGTACCAGGTGGATTGCAAAGTCAGAGATCTACATGGATCCAGAAAAAACCCTGGACAACACTGACAACACAGGGAACTGGGGCAAACCTAATACAAAGGTAATAAAAACGGGAATTTTGCAGTGATACTACAACTACTGAATTCAGATTTTGCCATAAAGCACAACATAGGTCCAAAAAACTTTCCTGCATCCCAGTTGTGCAAACAGATCCTGAAGGCAGCACACTTACATCTGAGCTGATGAGCTCTGCTGACTGCAGGGACAGGATGCTACAGAATTGTGTCAAGGGAGGTCAGGAGGAATCCATTACATGACAAAGAATTCTGTAAGACTCTCTGTCCCAAGTTTCAAAGCCTGTTCATTGTGTTTCAGAGAAATGTCTCCCCTGTGCCCCCTGACACAGGGCTTGGTTTAGCCACTGCTCTGGGCTCAGGCTTGGCACGCACTGCCACAGAAAACCATCCCATGTGTGTTGTCAAGGGACTGGGAGTTACTCTCATAGTCAGAGTACACAGAGTTATCACAACGAATAGGAACATTAGTTCCTGAAAGATGATACACTGTATGCATGAAGGCTCATTCCAGGTCACTGGGGATCCAGATGACACTTCCCATCACAGGTGGAAGGGGCTGTACTCCTTTTCCATGGCTTCTTACTTTGTTTCCCCCAAAGTCTTCTGTTTGTCTCTCTCTGTGGGACTCTGAGGTGAGGTGAGACCTGGGAGGTTCATGGAAGATGGTGAGTCATCTTTTCCTGTAGCACAAGGGGAATTTTAGACCATGTTTTCTCTCAGACCCATTTTACCATCTGCAGTCTTGTCGAACAAGCCATGGAGAGGGTAAGAGCTACACGATAGGCCTGCAGAGAGAAGGCAATTCCTGCTCCCTGAAGACACAGCTGAAATGCTTTGCCACCCCCAAGTGGACACTTGCGTTTTATCATTAACATTTCCGTTTCCAACCAGTTTTGCATTATAATTTTTCCCTCTGCCAGACGTAAAAGTGTGATTTCCCTCTGGACTTGCTGTGCCAGTGGTGCCTTGCTGCCTGTGAGCTGCCCAGGTCCCTGTTCTCCTGCTGGGCTCTGAGCTCTGTGCTCCCACTGACAGGCTGGGGGCCACCTGGGCAGAGCCTGGGCTGGATTTCCTCCCTCACTGAGCTCAGGAGGTTATCCTCCTTATCCCAGCTGTGTTCCACTGAAAGCAGGTCTTCTCCGATGTCCTAGACACCCACCCATGAGGAGATGGTGTAGTTTGACATACTCACACATCCACCATATGATGGAGACGTTCCTCTATGGGATTTTGTGGCTCTTTGGATGCATTTTATGCATTTAGGACCAGATGGCATTTTGTGTTGGTGCACAGAGAGCCACCCATGAGTGATGCCGCTCGCTCCTCTCTTTATGGGAGAATCCCAACCTTTGGCTGCAAAGCTCAGGGTGGATAAATGCACCTCATGACTTGCAGATGAGCACACAGATCTGCAGACAAGGTTGGGCTCTGAAGTTGTAGGGTGAAGATTTTGTGTGGTCTTAGACAAAACAGCCACATTTTTGTTCCCAAGGAGGACATAGGGTTTTGTGAGGAAGGGGAAGGAGGGAGTGGGAGGAATGTGCATGGATGGGGAAATTTTAGAAGAGAAATAGTGAGAAGACAATCATCAGGAACTCACCTGGGTCTGAAGTAATTTATTCTTTTGTCCTAAAAGGAGTTTTTATCACATTTCATTTGGTGTCAGTCAAAAGAAGTGACACTCATAACCAGAAATTGCTGGGCCTTTTTTGGCTAAATATCAAAACCAGAGCTGAAAACATTTAGGTTTGCACCAAATCAAACCTTCTGTGAAAGTGTTATTGGGAGAGACATGTCAAAATTCCTCTAAATTCTGCTAAAAACAAAATAAATGCAGTGGAGAAAGTGTGGACTGACTGCAGACTCCAAGTTAAGTTCCCTGTGACTGCACAGCTCAGTACCCCTCATTCCTGAGGGATGCACTTTGTCTCTACAAAGTAGTCAATGTTCACTAGAGGCTTTTCTTCCTAAAAGGTTGGTGCTTGAGTTATTTATCACTCTGCTCTGATATTTACTTGGCTGCATTTTGGAAGCTGAATCCAAACACGAAAAAACAGGAAGATGGATAGAGATGTCATGAAAGTCGATGCTATTCCTTTATTTATACATTAACCAGCTTTCATAGCCAAGTGCTGAAAAATGTTGGCAACTGGCTGAGAAAAATTCATGTTGCAAGAAAACAGAGAACAACTCACTTTCCTCCAAAGCGGTCCAGTGTGATGGAACTGTATTTATTTGAAATCAAGCGTGTCTTCCTAGACAGAACTGTCTATTGATTTATTTCTCTGCTTCTCTTTCCCTCTGGGAAACATGCAAGTGTGTGAGCAGAAAGTGTGGAGAGCAGGGGCAGTACTGTGAACAAAACATGAATAGTCTGAAATGTACTGCAAGGAAACACTCAAAGGAGAGAAGAATTGTGTTCATTACCAGTGAGTGATACTCTGATCTAATGCCAGATTCAGTTGGAAAAGACACCATGACAGCAGGTGGACAATTCTGCTAAGTTTACCCGAAGAGTTTTTGAACACTACTGTGTTTCGAAGTGTTTCAACCACAGCTTACCAGTAAAACTAAATGTACACTTCAGCTGCAGAGCTGATTATATGTATCTGTGTGTAACATGAAAATAAATATACTAGAGTCTCTCTTCCTAGGCCTGGTCCATCCTCCAGCAATCCTCAAGTTTCTTGTTTCTCCCTTAGATTTCATGTGAGTAGCAGAAGGTGGAGATTCCCCAGAGGCAAGAACCTCACCTGGAGAGTCAAGGGTTGCTGATTTTCTTCCACATTTCCTTCCATTTACATTTAGATTAGTCAACAGCCTGCTTAGGTCACACCCCAGACACAGAGAGCTCATTTGCCACCAGAAGTAGGAGGCTTTCTGTTACTGTCTAGATTTATTGAAACCCTAAAAAATTGCAGTTGATATTTTTAAGGCAAATTATCTTAAATCCATTTAGTTTTTAAAGGATTAATTTTAGGTGTATGGAAGCTGTTGGAATAATTTGCTTTCCAGTAGGATAGCTAATTCTTGAATTAAATACTGAGGTGTTTACTGTAAAAGCCCAAATAACTTTTTTCATGCATCCTCAGCTTATACTATGTTATGCAATGCAGCAAGTTACTCCCCAGACAAATAGGCTGTTGTTTGATTTTTTGGCTATAAGTGGGTTTTCCAGAAGACCCTTTGACTCAGATGTCTATAAGATGGAGATCACCATCAGAGGAAATCTGTATTCCTCTTCTAGTCAAATGAGGGGGGAAAAAAAGCCATGCTAAAATCAATTTATCTGATCTATTTCAGTCATCTACCTTAGGTGTTTTACAGGTAGTTTTTATGCATATCTTTTATGATTGAAAAACACAGCTAGGCAGCCAGATACAGGTCACCTTGAAATGATGTGTGTTCTTTGTTGCAGAGCAGATATGTTTATCAGACCCTTTCAATTTGTTTCATTTCTTCAGAACCCAAGAGTCTCCCTTAGAAATGACTCACTAGGAAAATCATGCTCTAAATGAGCAAAAGAAATGGTTAACAGCTAATTCACCTCTAAACAGTGTAAGAACAGCATCCTCAGCTACCATTTTGTTTATTGATCCGGGGTTGGTGCCTCTGGGACACCTGGACCAAGCTCTTACAAGGTGGGGAAATTCCAACAGAGCTCTAGCACTTGTAGGGTTTGCAGCATTGGTTTGCAAGCTTGCAGTTTTCTTTCCCTTACTTCTATAGGAGCTGGCGAGGGTAGGAAAGATATCTGTCCTGCCAGAGAACGTGTTAAACACCTGCCTGAACTCAATGGAAAGTCTCCAAAGAGAAGTTTTTTCATGCTGCTGTTGACTGCAGTGCAGGTGGGTTGGGCAGCACTGAGCAACTGCAGCAAAAAACTACAAGACTCAAGGTTTTGAGAAACAACTCACCAGACTTTCTGTGAGGAAGGAAATAAAGCACTAACACAGGAACTCAGAGGTATAGTTACTGTTTATTTAACCATGTACAGACTGGGGTTCATTAGTTGGCTTGGTGGGAAGTCCTAAATGCAGAGGGTTTTTCTGAATGTGAACAAACTTGGTTAGTACAACAAAACTCAGCTTCCCCCAAGTCCTGCACCACTGATTCCTCCCAGCTCAAGTTACCTGATCCTGCAGAAAAACAGACCACAGAAACAGCAACACATTTAAATTTCCATCTCAGTATCAATGGCAGGACCCTCTGTTGGAACTTAGACACATGTAGTATGCTCTGGGGTGACAAGGATCCATTCCTCAGCTGCTTCCCAGTAACCATCTGTCTCCCTGCTCTTAGCTTAAGATGATGCAAATCAGTTTATGTTCCTGCATACAGCAAAGATGAACAGGCAATTGTCACTGGCCCAGATACATCCAGTTTGTTTATGTATCCCAGTCCCAAGGTGAGGAGCTGAGTCATGTGGAGCTTTCTCTCTCTGCATATAACACTAAATAGTCCCAAAGTTGGGTCTTATGGCAGCCTACCAATTCCCAGTAAACCCACTGCACTCCCCCAAGAGGCAGCAATGACTGCCAGACATGATTCAGCCTCAGCACACTCCAGTTTTCACGTGTCTCTTGCATTAACAGCAAGGAGCTCTCATATAAGTGTTAGCCTCAGTCTGGTTCCTTCCAGTCTCATTTCTTTCCCTATCTCCCCCTCCTGTGAGGAACAGGTATATTGAAGGATCATCTCTCCTCCCCATCCAGCCTGTCTTTTTGCTGCTAAGAAATTCCACTAAGGATTGAGTCTTTTCTCTGCAACTTTATTTGCCAGCTGTAGGGTTTTCACACTGTATTTGTATTCCAGTCCCGATTTCAATTACCTGGCTAACCTTTTCAATTTTCACAGAGAGTGAGAATCAGAAAACAGCAGGTCCTTTATTACAGCTCACACTGGTGAGGAATGCTTCACCCCCCTTCCCTCCCCCGTGTTTGCAGGAAAGCTCTGTCAAATTCAAACAAACTCATTGATAATAACTTGTCTATTTACTTATGCTTTGCTGACTGTTAAGTATTCTGGTACCTTCTACAGACCTCTCTTCCATCCTCCTTTTAGCTTGAACATACTATATTTTACAACATTTCTAAAAGCTAAGGAGAAACAGTTTTCACACTTCACCCTGATGCTTGACTCCAGTGGAAATTCTCACCAGTGTCAAACACTGAAGAAGGTAAAAGTCTTGTGTTTCAGGAGGGGCTGTTTGCTGATCTTTGATAAGCAAGACATGGTGGTGGCCAGTCCTTATGTCCAGGTCTCAGGGCACTCCCCAGTGGAGGCTCAGGGCATTGGAGGGGTTCCCTCAAATGAAGAGGCAAGTCAGGCACAGGACACCACTCTGCTGATCCCAAAGCCACTGCTCTGCCACTAAATTGTCCTCACCACAGCTGTTACCTTTTTTGCCTTCCTCAATTTTTGAAGTCATACCCCTCTTCTTATCTCCTTTATTATTCTAAGCTCTTGATCTAGCCTGTGGTCTTTCTGCCCCATGACTCAGCCATCCAGATCCTAAAAATTATTTATTTGATTGGGGAGGGATAAGGATTTAGTACAACAGACCTGTTTCTTAGCAACACCTTCCCATCTTTCTTACTCTTCTTTTGTTATTTCCATCTCATTATCTTTTCCCATGTTCAACCCCAAATTAACTTAATTACAGACAGATTTCATATCTCTCTAAACCAGAAGGGGCACTTGTAAAACATCCCTCCAGTCAATAGTAAATGAGGGCCTTGGCCTATTCTAAGTAGGCTTTTGGAAAGGCAGCTCAGCTGTGCCTGTCCTGCTCCCCCCAGAGACCTCTCCTGGTTGCTCCTAACTCCTGCTGTTCCTTTGAGCTGCTTTTAAGTGAGGCACTTCACCTATCCATTTTGCAGCCAAGTTCATCGCAACCCCTGAGCTCCACAGCAGACATCTGTATAAATCACCAGGTGAATGCTTCTCCTGTGCAGATGCCAAGGGCACTGCAACCTTTCCACCTTCTCTTGCCATATTCAGACCGGAGGGAAGTGCCTTGCTTCAAAGTCTCTACCTATTGGAATCTGTCTTGGGTGCAAATCTGAGATAAACCTGAGATATATTGAGTCTGAACATTGGATGCACTTGATCCAGGACGACCTCTGATTACTCACACATTGGTAGGTCAAAGATCTCTCTTGGTTAATGCAGCTCTGGTTGCCCAAAAGTCATATACTGAGGATAACTCTCTCCTGTGAGACAAAAATACACCAACTGGACTAGATCCAAGGCAGCCCCTCTTACCTCATCCTCTCCTTAGTCTGTGATACCAGGTTTCCTTTGGATATCAGGAGCAGGATCCATCTCTAGCAGCTGCTGCATTTATCACCCTCTCGTAGATAAGGTTGTACTGCTGTTGCTTACCGTGCAGAGAAGTTCTCCACTGGCAGAGGAAACACCTTCTTCCTTCTGTTGGAGGTCAGGTAGCTATTACCCAGTCAGGACACCTCTTCCTAAATCCATCAAGTGATTCCTCACTGTCAGAAGCAGGACACTGCACTGAGAAGAATGAGAAGAGATCTGTATTTACACAATAAGGAAAGCGTCATCAGAGATCAGCCACCAACTGAACTGTGCTGAGGGCACATGAAACACTATGAAACCATCTATAAAGACATAAGGGAAACTAAACTCCCACCAGCAATATAAAAGTCAGGGAGGGTTCTGTGGCAGCTATGAGAGGAATCAGTGATCTGGGTTTCTACCATTAGAAGAGGACACCTGTGGTTTCTGGAAAGGAAGGAAAGCCTGGGTAATTATGCAGATGGTTCCCCCTCATTCAGGTGAGCATTTCTTCCCAGCTGTTTGCTGCCCTGGAAAGTAGAACCACAGGTAAAATTGGGATGTGCTTCCCCACCATCACCCTGCAAAGGGGGAGTTGCAAATCATGCATGTGTACTGGAGTGAACCAACTCGAATGCTGGCAGCAGTGCAGCTACAGGACAAGCCTTGCTGGGTTCTCTGGTGGCTGATCCATGCAGCTGGTGGGGATGCTGCAAACTCCACAGATGTGATGAGACTATAGCACATGAATTGCAGTCAGGTCCTCATCCTTAGTCCTGGGCTTTCCAAAAGACAGAGCCTCATTTGGAATGAAACTCTACCCCTTCAGGCTCTTTCCTTTCTCTTTTGCCCCTTTCATCACTTTGGTCTGTATGGAGAGAGGCCATAGGTAGGATATTTCCTCCTTACTTCATGTGGGCATTTGCAGAGTTATTTACCTCAGTTGAACTATGTTGCATTTACCAGCTCAGCAGGAGACTGACCAAGGTCTGTGTTTAGGCTGGAAATGTCTGAAGAAGACAAGGAGCAAATATCTGCCCTGAAATCTGAACATATGTCTTCTAAAAAGCACTTGTACACATCTTCCCCGAATTTACAGTCCAACCACACTAGTCAGTGCCCACTGGAGGTCAGTCGTGTGCCATGGAAACCTTTGTGGGAATGAGTCACTGGGGTGCCCAGTGATTTCCAGAAGCCTTGGACACTCAGCCTGCATTTGTGGTGCACAAGAAAACCTGTCCCAGCTCCCTCGGTGTTGATTTGTGATTTAGAGACTCTTCGTGTTTCCATTTCTTTTGTCCCCTGCTCAGAAGAATCCAGTGCTCTGTTGCTGGATAAGCTCAGCAAGAGAGATGCATGTGCATTCAGTGCAGGCTCACAGACACCCAGGGTGCTCCTCAGGTCCCAGCCAGCCTGTGCAGTGCTAACACTTCATCCAAGCCACATTGAAAAATACTCTTATTTAGGGGCAATTCTCAGTCTTTTGAGTTTGTTTCACAGGGCATGGCAGCATAATTATATACAAGTTGCATGCTCTGGATGAGAGATCAGGATATTGATGCACAACCAACACAAGTACAAGCCCAGATACCTAATTCAGAGTCATATTCGCTGCCAGTGCCTATAATAAAGAATTCCTACACTGAATCCCATTCAAAGAGTCACTTCCTCCTATTCCTTCTATGAGATCCTCCAAGAAGGCCTCAACAAATATTTGACTGGAAAAAAACACTTAAGCTAAACGTTCTGATAAAAGAGATTTCCCCTGCCAAAGCAAAACAAATCAAAATAATAAATAAATTTTAAAAATCTATGTTTTTACTACAGGATCCCACAGATGCCAGCGCAAATGCACGTCTGGCTGTGCCAAGTGAAGTCAGCTCTTGGTAACTCTTATGCCTATAAAAAATATAGACATCAGTATGGTCTACATAGAAAATGGAGACTGAAGTGCTCAGTATGTGCTCCACACATATTCCTTATTTCACTTTCATGGTGACTCAATTTTTCTCTCTAAATCAAGGATGGCAGAGCTGTTCTCTGCCCTGTTTTCAGTCAGGCCTCATCTGGAGTGTAGGATACACAACATCCACACATTCACTGAAGCTCAACACTGAAATGAGAGCCAGTAGTGAATAAACCATTTGCTGGCCCCTGCTACAAGCAGCCTGAAGCAGATATTTCTTGTGCTTTGCTGTAACAGTTAGAGAGTCATTCCTTTTCTGCTATTTTTCTAGCACAGCAATAGAAATATTGACCTCCACCACTGGCTTATCCTTTGGTGTTAAAAAAACTGCAATTATGCATTCTAAACAACCAGAGAATCACAAGGGTTGAGGTACCTTCTGATCTCTTATCACCTTTGCATGTAGAGCTGAAACAGGATTAGTGAGGAACAGAGGACAAGCCTCTCATTATGCCTTCAGTATTCACCACTAAAGCTTTGGTCCTCCCTCTCCAAAGTCATACATTTTCACTTCTCTTTGTTTTGCTTTTTTTTGGTAGTGGTGATGGTTTTTGCCCCCCCCCCCC